TTGCTATGTTAAATTTTGCTGGAGATGTTCTGGATTTTAAACCCTCTGTACATATTCTGGATATTAAACCCTTATCCTTATATAGCATAACAACTATTTTAAAAATAAATGAAATAATCTTTATCAAGATTTGAGGGAAAAACTAACTGGATATGTGACATTTTGAAAAATTTCATCAAACATGTTGAAATATTATATTTCTTACTTTGTTCAAAATGTATACTTTACCCCCAAATTTGGAGCTTTCTGGTCTTGTTTTTCCAGTGGGATGATTATTCTTGTTGTGAGGGTGGACTAAGCCTCATAATTCTTTTGTATCCCATGATGTCTAGATGGTTCCCTGAATAGGTTTTAAATAAAGGCACCACAGCAGGGTGTGGACTGAGTAAAGACAAGGACCTGGGACACAAATAGAAGCAGGTGGGGACTGCTGTCAGCCTGGGGGTTTTAAAACACAAACTCCAAGGCTGCATTGCAGAACAGACTGTGAGCTGTTTAGATATGGCAGCTTGCCAAGGAAGCAAGGGAGGCAGGTTGTGGTTTTAGCGAGGCAGGGCTGTGCATCCATTTCCCACACCGTCCTGATCTCTAGGGTTTACTGTGGTGGGGTTGACAGACCCAGACACAGAAAATAGCACGTCATTGTGATTAGTGCCATGATGAGGGTGGCAAAGTGTGCTCTAGAAACCCTGAAAAGGGGGTCAAGGAAGACTTTCTGGACCCCAAAAGGCCAAATTGCAGATACACCAAGTTTGTACCCATTTTTTCCCTTTCACCTTCACATGACTGCCTCCTTCTTGTCATTTCTGGTCTCACAGCTCAATGTCACCTCTTCAGGAAGGCCTTCCCTGACCACCGTATGGGAAGTGGACCCTCAGTCACTCCCAGTTTTATTATCTTCATAGCACCTCTCAGTAGCTAGTCTTGTTTACATACCTGTCTACTTGCTCGTTGCCCATTGCTCTCCTCCAGAGCGTGAGCTCATGAGAACAGAGACCTTTTCCATCTTGTTCCCTGCTGTGTCCCCTGTGCCCTGGGCCCATAGTGAATACCCAACATTTGCTGAGTGAAGAGATTTGCCAATGGATGAGGGCAGAGTTGAAGTGTGAGGAGGGGAGGGCATCTCCAGAATGCACTGGGGAGGTCAAGGCAAATAAGGATTGAAGAGGGGCCTATGGCTTTGGCACCAAGGTGGGGGATGGAGGATGGGGAATCAGAAGGCAGACGAGGGTTGGGGTGGCCTGACTTGCAAATGGTAGGAGAGGAAATCTAGACAACCCTCTGGAGAAGTCTCAGAAAGGGAGGAGAGATGTGGGGTGGAAACTAGAGGGGAAACTCAGTCAGTGGAGGAGTATTTTATTTTTTATTTTTATTGTGGTGAAATATATACAATAAAACATTTGCCATTTCAGGATCTCGGACAGAGCTGGAGAAAAATGTAGAACAAAATTCAAACTCACAAAAAAAGACCAGACTTACTGGTCTGACAGAGACTGGAGAAACTCTGAGATTATGGCCCCCGGACACCCTTTTAACTCAGTACTGAAGTCACTCCTGAGGTTCGCCCTTCAGCTAAGGATTAAAACCTACTGCCGTCGAGTTGATTCTGACTCATTGCAACCCTATAAACAAACAGTAATACACATAGTTCAACCATGTATACGAGACAAAATGGCACACCAGCCTAGGGGCAAGGACGAGAAGGCAGGAGGGGCAGGAAAGCTGGACGAATGGAAATGGGGAACCCAAGGTCAAGAAAGGGAGAGCGTTGACATGATGCGGAGTTGGCAACCAATTTCACAAAACAATATGTGTATTAATTATTTAATGATAACCTAATTTGCTCTGTAAACCTTCATCTAAAGCACAATTTTAAAAAATTACCATTTTAATCATTTTTATGTGTATAATTCAGTGACATTAATTACATTCACCATGTGCGACCATCACCACTATCCACTCCGAAATTTTTTCATCACCTTGAACAAAAAGCTCTATATCCCTGAAGCAACACACCCTCATCTCCCCCTCCCACCCACCCCGGTAACTACTAGTAAATACTTGTCTCTATGCATTTGCTGATTCTGGATATTTCATATAAGTGGGATCATACAATATTTGTCCTTCGGTCTGACTTCTTTCACTCAGCATAATGTTTTCAAGGTTCATCCATGTCGTAGAGTGCATCAGAACTTCATGTCTCTTTATGACTCATATTCCATTGTATGGATATACCGTATTTTACTTATCCATTCATCTGTTAATGGACATTTGGGTTGTTTCTATCTTTTGGCAATTGTGAATAATGCTGCAATGAACATTCGTGTACATGTATCTGTCTGAATTCCAGCTTTCTTTTGGGCATATACCTAGAGTGGAATTGCTGGGTCATAAGGTACTATGTTTAACTTTTTAAGGAACCACCTCAGCAATGGATGAGGTTTCCAATTTCTTCACATCCTTGCCAACACATGTTATTTTCCGTTCATTTTTAAATCATAGCCATCCTAGTGGGGTTAAGTGGTATCTCATTGTGGTTTTGATTTTTATTTCCCTAATGACTAATGATGTTGAGCATCTTTTCATCTAGTTATTGGCCATTTGTATGTATTTTTTGGTGAAATGTCTACTCAAGTCCTTTGCCTATTTTGCCAATTGAGTTGTTTGTGTTTTGTTGTTGAGTTGTAGGAGTTCTTGACATACTCAGGATATTAAACCCTTATCCACTATAGGGTTCCCAAGCATTTTCTCCCTATCTATAGATTGTCTCACTTTGTTGATAAAGTCCTTTGATGCACAAAAGTTTTTCATTTTGATGAGGTCCAACTTGTCTATTTTGTCTTTTGTTGGTCATGCTTTTGGTGTCATATCCAGGAGGCCATTGTAGAAAACTAGGTCTCAAAGCACTACTCCTATGTTTTGTTCTAGAATTTTATGGTTTTAGTTGTTACATTTAGGTCGTTAATCTATTTTTAAGCTAATTTTCATATACAGTGTGGGTAGGTATCCAACATCTTTCTTTTGCTTGTGGAGATCCAGTTGTCTCAGCACCATTTATTGACGAGACTATTCTTTCCCCATTGGATGGACTTAGCACCCTTGTTCAAAATCAATTGACCATAGATGTATGGGCTTCTATCAGTATTTTTAATAGGAAGGAGACAAGAATGTTTTTAGATTGGGGTTGGAAGCCAACAAAGACCAAGGAAAGAGAGGGACACCTAGAGCAAGGTCCTTGGGGAGGCAGGAGGGAAGGGGACCACAGAGCCCTGGTGGAAGCATTTGTCTCTGACTGCCAGAAGGTGCCTGCTTCATTGAGTCTTGAGTGGGTGCCAGTTACATATGCTTATTGTGTGGAGGTGGGGTGGGGTGGTAGGTAGTGATGGTCTGAATCGTCCCTGTCACTGGGCCAGCTGCTGTTAGGGGTGGGGAGAAATGGGAGGTAGTTGAGTAGGTTGAGCAATGAATGTAGCTAGGGAGAGAAGTAGTTGAGGCCAGAAGGGGCTGGTAGTGCAGGAGAAGAGGAAGATAACCAGGGACTGGAGGGAGAAGAATACATAGCATGACTGTGAGAGTGTGACAAGGTGGGAAGGACAGCAGGGTCTGGTCTGGGAGTGGGGCATCTGATTTTCAGATTTCAGAGATGGGGCAGTTCTGAGGGACGACACAGCCTAGGGTGTGGCCATGTGTGCTGGTGGCCGAGGTGGACTGGAAATGAGGCGGTCAAGGAACTGAGTGGTCATGTGCTACATGTGTCTCCCAGAAGGTCAGCAGGGCTTAGGGTAGAGAGGGAAATGAGTTTTAGGGAATGAGGGAAAATGACCACAACTGGGAGGCAGAGAAGGTATGTGAGGCTCAGAAGGCAGGGTGGCTACACCAAGGCTAGCCAAGGGGAGGAAGATGACCACAACTGTCCTGAGGGTTAAGGGAGGGGGGGCAAGTTTAGTGAAGGCAGGAGGTAGAGGGCAGGAGGTTCCTTGAGGAGACTCCTGAGAGCTTAAGGGTAGGGGAACCGGAAACCAGAGTCAGGGCGGGGGCCAAGGGAGGACAGATGGCTGGTGTTTGGGGCGGAGGCAGGCCTGGGATGTGAAGCTGGAGTTGGCCAGCCGCCAGACTCCCAGGGGGCCCCTGCTGAGAGTCTGGGGGCGCTGGTGTAGGCGAGGCCACAGAGCCCCCTGCCTGTGGGTCAAACACTGGGCTCTCCTCCAGGCAAACATTCACTTGGAAAATAGCCCCAAAATGAGGAATTACGGGGCCTCGCCTCGCGTTGGTAACCGCTACCCATCCAGTGGAGGGCACAGGCCTAGGTCCAGAGTTGGCTTCGGAGCGGAAACTACCTCGAGACCCCTGCTGCTCAACTGAGTGACCCTAGGACCCTTGGGAAACCTCCATGTGCCTTTCCCTAGGAGGGGCTGGCCTGCCTGGTCACTGAGAACACACCGAGGGGTGCCTCAGTTCAGGGACAAAGCAGAAATTCCGGAAATCTTGGGGGACCTCTGCGGGGCCAGATCAGGAGGGCCCAGCCCGTCTCCGCCGCCAGAGGGCTCACTCGGCCCGGCGGGCGATCGGGCGTCCGTCTGGGGGGCGCTGTCGTTGTCCTGTCCTGGGCCCGGCCCCGCGCGCGG